CCGTCCCCGTCCCCGCCGCCGCGCAGCGCCTCCGTGCTGCTGGAGCCGGGCGCGGCGCGGCTGCGCGTGGTGCCCGGCCACCGTCCGGACGCCGTCGCCTGGGCCAACCTCACCGACCACGTCCATGCCGTGGGGTAGGCGCGGCGGGACGGGACGGGACGGGCGGGCGCGGGGCCGGCCCCGGGCCCGGCTCACGCGGCGCCCCGCGCCCGCCCAGCTGGGCCTTCCTGGAGGTGGCCACCAACGAGGCGTACAACGACAGCGCGCAGGCCTACGCGGCCGGGCTGGCCGAGGCCGCCGTGTCGGAGCAGGTAGCGGGCGGGCGGGCGGCCCGGGCGCCCCGCGCGCCCCTGCCCCGTGCCAGCCCCGCGCGCCCGCCCCGCAGCTCATCTACATGCACTGGATGAACACGGTCGTGGGCTACTGCGGCCCCTTCAAGTACGAGACCGACTACTGCGAGAGGCTGCGGGGCTACCTGGAGGCCAACGTGGCCTGGATGCAGGAGCAGATGGAGAAGGGGGGTGACCCCGAGTACTGGCACCAGGTGAGGGGCCCCCCGTGCCGCCCTCTGCACGAGCTGGGGCTCTGTGGCCACGCGCCGTGCGAGGTGGCTCGGCCTTGCCCGGCGCCGCAGCCTCGCGGGCTGCCCTGCTCCTGGTGGGGACACCGGGGCTGAGCTCAGTCACAGCCCCGCGGCGCCTGCCCTGCTTCCCGCCCGCCCGCGTGGTGCCCTTAGTCCCGAGGGGCCGGTCCCTGGGGCAGCAGGACCGCGCACAGGGCGGCCCGGCTAGCACAGCCCGGCTCAGCACAGCACAGCCCGGCTCAGCACAGCCCGGCTCGGCTCAGCCCGGCTCGGCACAGCCCAGCTCGGCACAGCCCGGCTCAGCACAGCCCGGCTCAGCACAGCCCGGCTCGGCTCAGCCCGGCTCAGCACAGCCCGGCTCAGCACAGCCTGGCACAGCACGGCCCGGCTCAGCACAGCCCGGCTCGGCACAGCCCGGCTCAGCACAGCCTGGCTCGGCTCAGCCCGGCCCAGTACAGCCCGGCTCAGCACAGCACAGCCCGGCCCGGCTCAGCCTGGCTCAGCGCAGCCCGGCTCAACGCAGCCAGGCTCAGCACGGCCCGGCTCAGCACAGCCCGGCTCGGCTCAGCCCGGCTCGGCTCAGCCCGGCTCGGCTCAGCCTGGCTCAGCGCAGCCCGGCTCGGCTCAGCCCGGCTCAGCCCGGGCGCTGCTCTGCCCGCAGGTGCGCCTGGCCCTGCTGCAGCTCAAGGGCCTCGAGGACAGCTACAGCGGGCGCGCGGCCCTGCCCGACGGCGCCTTCCCCATCGCGCCCTTCGGCTTCCTGTAAGCTCCTTCCCCGCGGGCGCGGGGCTGTCCGGGTGTCCCAGCGGGAGGGCGGATGCTCCTGGTGGTGGGTTGTCCTGCAGGCTGGGATGTGAACTGGGGCAGGGTCTCCCTGGTGGCTCCTGTTCCAGCCTCAGGGTCCGCTCTGGTSCCCCATCCCTCTCTGCTCAGGCCCCTGGTTTGTCTCTAGCCCGCGTCGCTGATTCCTCCCCTCTCGCAGGCTGCTGCAGCTGGGAGGGGACCTGGAGGACCTGGAAGCCGCCTTCAACAGGTCGGCCGCGCCGCCCGTGCTGGGCTCGGGCTCCTGCTCCGCGCTCCTCAAGCTGCTCCCGGGCAATCGGGATCTGCTCGTCGCCCACGACACCTGGACCTCCTACCAGTCCATGCTGCGTGTCATCAAGAAGTACACGCTGCCCTTCCGCACGTCGGCSCGCGGTACGGGGGGCTCCTCCCGGCAGCACCGCGGGGCCCCGGGCCCGGCCGCTGCCTCTTGGTTTGTTATTTTTCCTCTCGCCGGCGCTGCTGATGCTCCGCGCTCCCTCCCAGGTAACACTCSGATCGCAGGGAGCGTCCAGGTGTTCTCCTCCTACCCCGGCACCATCTTCTCCGGGGACGACTTCTACATCCTGAGCAGCGGCTTGGTGGGTAGGGGCCGCTCGGGGCGCTGCCGCCGTCGCYGCTGCCGCCGTCGCCGCTCATCTCCCGCCGCCGCAGGTCGCGCTGGAAACCACCATCGGCAACAACAACCCCGCGCTCTGGAAGTACATCCGCCCGCAGGGCAGTGTCCTGGAGTGGCTGCGGAACATCGTGGCCAACCGGCTCGCCCGGAGCGGCGCCGAGTGGGCCGCCCTCTTCCGGCGGTTCAACAGTGGCACGTGAGTGGGACCGTCACCCTCTGCTTCCCAACGGGGTGTCATGGTGGGATTTTCCTGCGGATCCATCTCCGAATATCGGGTGCTGGTGGTGAGGAGCGCGGCGGCCGCTGGAGGGGTGTTTTTCCCTTCCCTTTTGCAGGTACAACAACCAGTGGATGGTGGTGGACTACAAGGCCTTCTCGCCCGGGGCGGCCAGTGCCCAGCACGGGGTGCTCACCGTGTTGGAGCAGATCCCGTGAGTGTCCCAGCCCTGCCCTGAAGTGCTGTCTTGCTCGGGGCCGCTCCAGAACCGTTTCCTGGTCGGAGAGGCCCAAGCCCGCGTGTGCCCGCAGCCCTCGCACCCCGCAGAGCCCGGAGGGTTTTAGTTGAGAGGGGCCGGCTCGGCCGCGCTGCTGGCGCCGCCGGCTGGGAGGCTGCTCGTGCTCCGCGCTGCTGGAAGCTGACGGCACTCAGGGGCCGGCGCGGGGGCGAGGGGCCGCCAGGACCCGGCTTAGGTGGGGTTTAGCTGTGGTGACCTGGTGGGCGCATGGCCTTGCCCCTCYGTCGCCACGTGTCCCCCAGCTAAGCTTGGGTTCATCCGTGGTGCCAGCCCCGCTCTTCTCCTTGCAGGGGCCTGGTGGTGGTGGCTGATAAGACGGAGCTGCTTTACCAGCAGGGCTACTGGGCCAGCTACAACGTGCCGTAAGCTGCAGCTGGCTTCACCTCGCGTGTCCCTYGCTCCCGTCCCCTGACACGGGCTGTCCCAGCCCACCCTTGATCCCACCCGGGTGCTGCGAGGGGAGGGTGGCCCCCGGCCCCATGTGCTGGCCCCTCTGCTCCTGTAGCTACTTCGAGGAGATCTTCAACGCCAGTGGGAACCTGGAGCTGGTGAAGAAATACGGCGACTGGTTCAGCTACGAGGGCAGCCCCCGCGCCCGCATCTTCCGGCGCAACCAGACGCTCGTGCACGACATGGACTCCATGGTCCGCCTGATGAGGTGGGTGCTGGCACCGAAGGGGCTTGGGGTGGATGAGGCGCCCCAGCTCCTCCAGCCCCATGGGTCTGTTACTGAYCTTTTCCCTCCTTTTCATGGTTGCAACTTGTCCCTGCGGCCCTGGCCGCCCACCCCTTCCCCAGGTTCAACAACTACCTGCGGGACCCGCTGTCGCGGTGCCAGGGCTGCGACCCGCCCCAGAACGCCGAGAACGCCGTCTCGGCCCGCTCGGACCTCAACCCGCCCAACGGCACCTACCCCTTCGCGGCGCTGCGCCAGCGCTCGCACGGCGGCACCGACATGAAGGTGGGGCCGGGAGGGCCGAGCACCGTCCCCTGCGCCGCGTGGCCCGTTCGTGCCCCCTGGGGACAAGTGGCACAACCAAAGTGGTGGCATCGTTGCCCGGGATGTGTGGGACAGTGAACATGGTGTTACCTGTTCGTGGCTGCGTCCCCGCTGCCACCCTGTCCTGTATTTCTGTCCAGGCTCTGCCATCAGCTCTATTGCTCCTTCTCTTCTCCGTTTTCACTTGCATTTTGTCTCTTTTTTCCTTCTCTCTCCCTCTGTTCTCACCCCAGATCACGTCCTTCAGCCTGGCCCCGACCTTCCGCTTCGTGGCGGCCAGCGGGCCCACGTGGGACGACGTGCCGCCCTTCCAGTGGAGCACGTCCCCGTACAGCAGCCTGCTGCACATGGGCCACCCCGACCTCTGGAAGTTCCCCCCCGTCCTSGTCCGCTGGGACTGAGCTGGAGCCGCGGGCTGGTTCCACATCTGTCGCCTTCGCCCCGGGGCGAGAGCCGCGCGGGTCCCCAGCGCGGGAGCGGCTCGACGGCCCCCCTGGTGCTTGTGGTGACCCCAATTTGCTGCCTGCGCCGACAAGGAAATGGGGGCGCGGGGGAGGACCCCTCGCCCAGCCTGCAGCCTCCTGTGKTTTTTTTTGCTGCTGCTTTTCCCCTTCCATCCTGTGTCCTCTCGCGCCCGGAGCCGCATGGCGCCGCGATGGAGCCCACGGCTCTGCTGCTGCCTTGTGTCACCCCACGGCGTGGGGGCCTCGGTGCYGGGTGCTGCCCCCCGCCCCAGGCCTTGGCCTTGGCCTCTCGATGCCGGTCACCTCCCCCCGAGCTGGGCTCCCAGCCCTGGGGTCCACTCCCTGGTGTCCTGGGACAGCGACGTCCTGTGGGCCAGAGAGCAGGGGAGGGAACTCGGTTGGTTTTGATGAATAAAACGATCCGAGGAAGCTTGTGCTCTGCGWCTGTGCTTGGATTCTCTGGCAGCTTGCACAAGGGTTGGGCTCAAATGTGTCCCCTCRCTGGGGAAGTGATGGGGCTTTTGGGGAGCTCTGTCCCTGGCCCAGGGAGCAGGTAGGAACATTTGCAACTGCTGCCTTTGGGGTGCAAGGGGCTACGGTTTCTTTGCACCAAACTCTTTCTTCAGCTGGTGGATCCCCTTGGGTGTCTTTTTGGGTAGTTGTTATTTCTCCCCCGTTCCCAGGAGGGTGGGTGTTCGTGGGGAGACAGGGCCGAGGGTGGAGAGACCCCTGCTTGGCTCAGACCACCACCGAGGGTGACCCTCCCACTGCCTTTTGTTCCCCTTCCCTGGCACCCGTGTCCCCCCCAGCCCTGAGCCGCTTGTCGCAAAATCCTCTTACAGCAGCTCCCTTGATCTTTGCCTCAGCGTTGCTCGTTAGCAATAACGAGGTCATTAGTGGAGGGAGGGGGCGGATTATGAACTGGGGAGCTCAGCAAGTGCTTTGAAGATGCCCAGTTCCCACCAGGGCTGGCTCCATCCCCAGCTCTGTCCCCTCTGCCAGGCCGGGCCGTTCCCACGGGGTCCCCGTTCCGGGGGGCAATGTTGGGGGGGGGCCGTATCCAGACCCTCCCCTGTGTGCCGGGAATGACGGATGCTGGGGAACGGGTTAGATCCGACTGTCCCCTGCAGTGGGACGAGGAGCTGGGGACACCGGCTCCATTTGGAGGGCATGGGGAGCCCGTTACTCCCAGCTGCCCCCGTCCGTCTTATCCCCGGCTGCTGCCGGGCGCTTTTGGTTCCCGGCCAACTCCGCGGTGACGGTGACGCGGAAAAGAAATGGCCGGAAAAACAGCCGGCCTGGGCAAGGAGCGCCCGCGGCTGGGAGCAAAGTGCTGAGCAAGCAGCCTGGGACCTGCCTCGTGCCCCTCCGTGCCGGCTCCGCGCAGGGCCGGGTAGGTCACGGCTGRTTTTGCTCCTTTCCTCACTCCTGGGGTGGTCGAGGGTTGTTCTGTCGGATGTCCCGGGATTTAGGGAAGCTGGGGCACATCAGGGAGTGCTGGGATGAGACAGAATCCCCTGTCCAGGGGCGGTTCTGTGGCTCCAGTCCCTGCTCCGGTTTCCTTCTTTCCCTGCCAAAAATCCTTGTTTTTCACTGCTGGGGAAAACAACAAAAAAAGAATAAAAATCCTTYGGGAGACTTTGCCCTGGCAAAGGGCAGGCGAGCAAAGTCCCCATCCACCTGCAGCCCGGCCCCGCTTCCCCAGAGCTGTTTTTAATTCGGAGCGAATTCCCTCCCGCAGGGCGACTCCGCTGCCAGCCAGCAGCCCTAGGAAAGCCCTTGCTCCCGGGAAGGCTTCCCGAGCGCTCGGGGCCATGGCAGCCGGGGACGGCGGCCGCTTCCACATCGTCTCGCCCTTGCTGGAGAGCGTGGCCTTGTCCAAGGCGGCAGGCACCAAGGTCTACATGAAGCTGGAGAACGTGCAGCCCACGGGCTCCTTCAAGATCCGCGGCATCGGCTACACGTGCCAGGAGGTGAGCGCGGGGCCGGCGCGCGGGGCGCCCGTGGGCAGGGCTGGTGGGGGGACACAGAGCAGCCCCCGATGCCCCACACTCCCCACAGGCTGCCAAGCAGGGCTGCCAGCGCTTCGTCTGCTCCTCAGGTAGGTCCACGGTGGGTGGTTGTGCCGGGGGTAAATCCCTGCTTCCCGCTCCCGTGCACCTCGTTTTTCCCAGTCCCTGGGCCACTGTGGTGGGTGCTGGGGGGTCCCAGGCTCTGCATTAGGTGGTGAAGCCTCCTGGGTCTTTGGTGCATGTGCAAGGGGGGAAGCTGGTTCTGCCCCAAAGACAAGAGGGTCTTTGAGGAGGGAGGGAATGGGAGCTGGTCCATGGGAACCTGGCAGCACTGGGGACCTACCTGCTTGTGGTGGTTGATCTTGGGAGTAGGGAGATAAAGCAGTTGTAATGGGCACCTGGTGATGGTGGCGGGTGAGACCTGGTGGCGGTGGATCTTGATGGTGGTGGTGGTGGTGGTGGTAGATCTTGATGGTAATGGGACCAACCTGGAGGTGGTAGGACCTGGTGGTGGTGGTGAATCATCCCTCATGGTTGTGATGGGGGGACCTGGTGGTGGTGGTGAATCATCCCTCATGGTTGTGATGGGGGGACCTGGTGGTGGTGATGGGGACCTGGTAGTTGTGATGGGGACCTGGTGGTGATGGTGGATCTTGATGGCAGTGGGACCTGGTGGTGGTGGGGACCTGATGGGAGGTGATCTGCTGTGGGACATTTGGTGTGGGACACCCAATGTGGGGTCTAGCACATGGAGGGCAGTCAGGAAGCGAGGGGAGGCTGAGCCGGGCGGGGACACTTGGGGGTTGCAGCACCCACTGCTGGTGGAGCCCCCTGCCCTGGGGGTGCTGGGGCGCTGGAGCCCCTGCGTGGCCCTCACTTGTGCAGGGGGCAACGCGGGGCTGGCCATGGCCTACGCGGCCAGGCAGCTGGGGCTGCAGGCCACCGTGGTGGTGCCGAGCAGCACGGGCCCCATCGTGGTGCAGAAGCTGCGCGACCTGGGCGCCCACGTGGAGATCTGCGGGAAGGTACCGTGGGGGGGGACCCTGCTGCCCCCCACCTCCCCGTGGGGCACAGAGCMTGCCAGGGCCAGCCCCATGCCAAAGAGCATCGGGCGGCACGTGGGCTCCAGGCATCCCTAGTGCCCTGCGGGTTCTCCCGGGTCCTTGATGGCGTGGGGACAGCCAGGGATGCACAGGCTGCTCCTGGGTGTCACGGGGCCACGAGGCAGGGCACACGGTGGCCCCTCTAGGTGTGGGACGATGCCAACGAGAGAGCCAAGGAGCTGGCCAAGCGTGAGGGCTGCGTGAGCATCCACCCCTTCGACCACCCGCTGGTCTGGTGAGTGCGGCGCGGGGCGCAGCGCCGGCCCCGGCCCTGTCCCCCCTCACCGCTGCCTGTCCCCGCGTGCCCGGCGCTGCAGGCAGGGCCACTCCAGCCTCGTGCGGGAGCTGCGGGACGCGCTGGAGGCCAAGCCGGGCGCCGTGGTGCTCTCGGTGGGCGGCGGGGGGCTGCTGGCCGGCGTGGCAGCCGGCCTGCGCGACGTGGGCTGGCAGGACGTGCCCATCGTGGCCGTCGAGACGTGGGGGGCGCACAGCCTGCACGCCGCGCTGGAGGCCGGCCGCCTCGTCTCGCTGCCCGACATCACCAGGTGAGCGCCGCGCGGGGCTGGGTTTGGGGGCACATCGGCACGTTTTGGGGCAGATTGGCACGTTTCGGGGCAAGCACTGTCATCCAGGCCTGCCCAAAGGAGGTTGGTAATGTGGGAAATCAGTGTGTGGATGGGACTTCCAAGCCGTGCATGCGGTAGAGGGTTGGTTGGATGGGTCGTGCCTGGCTGTGCATGCAATGAGTTGTGAGGTCTCAGCCCAGCTCTGGAACGCCAGCCCTGCAGGGAGAGCCCGTTTTGGTGTCCCTGGGGGCTGTGTGGGGCCCATGTGTTGGACCATGCCCAAGCTGGCTGCAGGGATGGGGAGGGGGCTCGGACGCTGCCCTCCACCCGCGCTCCCTCCGCAGCGTGGCCAAGTGCCTGGGCGCCAAGACGGTGTCGGCGCGGGCGCTGCAGTGCGCGCAGGAGCTGCGCGTCGTCTCGCAGGTGGTGGAGGACGCCGAGGCCGTGCAAGCCATGGAGCGGTTCCTGGGTGAGCCGGCGGGCCCCGCGACGGGCACAGCGGGGGTGACCCTTGCGGCGATGCCCCCCGCCCGCGGCACCCACCGAGGCTCTCCCCGGCAGACGACGAGCGGCTGCTGGTGGAGCCAGCGTGCGGCGCGGCGCTGGCGCTGCTCTACACGGGGCGGCTGCGGCGGCTGCAGCGCGAGGGCCGCGTGGGCGCCGCGCCGCTGCCCGTCGTGGTCGTGGTGTGCGGGGGCAGCGCCGTGGACGCGGCCGAGCTGCGCGCCCTCAAGAGCCACCTGGGGCTGCCCTGAGCACGGGACCCCCCGCGCTGCGGCTCCCGGCCCCGGTCAGCGCGCACTAATTGCTCCGCGCCCGGCTTCAGGCACTGCTGTTCTAATCGCTGTTGRTGATTGCAACCGTGTCCCCGTCCCGCTGTCTTGTGTGGGGGCCGGAGCACGTGGGAAGCTCCCAAAATAACTGAGGTGCTGCCAGGCTCCTTTGGGCATCCCTGTGCCTCTCCCTCCTCCTCCTCCCTGTCCCTCTCGGCACACAGATCAGGGGGTACCAAGTGGCTCCCACCAGCGGGACCCCTGGGTCCCCATGGCACAGGGACAAGGTTCATGGAAAGCTCTTCCCTTCCCTGATATTATCCCTCTATTTTTTTTCTCCCTGATAAATTCCCCTGGCCAGCCCAGCCCATGAGATGCTTCTTGGAGGACGAAATCCCATAAATCACAACCCTGCCGCTCCAGCGTGGGCAATATCTTATGTAAAAAGGTGTTTCCAGGGAGCACCGGAGGCTGGAGAATCCTATTACAAGACTCGCTATTAATTATGAGGAGTCAGCCCAGTCTCCTCCAGCAATTTTTTATCCTAGGTCCAAAACCTCATTGCTTTCCACCTTCCATAGTCCTTCCCCCCTGCCCCAAAAAGAAAAGGGGAAAAAGGTCACACAGAAACAGCAGAGATGTTTTCCCGTTGCCTTTTCCCAAAGAAGTTGCTGTGCCTGGTTCATCCTCCCTGTGACTTCCCGTGTTCCCAGTTCCCATCACTATCCATCTGTCCCAGTGGTCTCATGGGTGACGCCTGGGGGAGACCTGGACCTCCGGTGTTCCCGGGGGGACACAGGGCTCCAGGGGCCACCTGAGAGGTGCCAGGATGACATCCCTGCTGGGGGTGGGAGCTGGGGCTGGATCCCTGCTGGGGTCACCTGGAGGCTGGGACTGGGCCGAATGGGCTGCAAGCAGCCTTGGACTTACAGTATTAGTAATAACAGCAATAATAATAATAATAATAATAATAATAGCCAGTGTTCACCCAGTGAATGACCCTGTGTTCTGTTTTAATATCCTAATTGTGATGTGCCGAAGGCCCGGGAAGGGGGAGGAGGAGGAGGAGGAGGAGGAGGAAGGCACCTGCGCCCTGGTTCAGCCCCGCTCCTGAGCAGTGTTGAGGGGCACAGGCAGAGGTGCTGGCCGGATCCCCTGGACATGAAGGATTTTTTCCTCCTGGATACCGGTACCTGAGGATCAGGGAAAATCCTGCCGTGGAGATGTCAATGGTAGAAAGATGGGAAAAAAAATCCTAGTGCATCGGCCTGTGTTAGGCGTTACTGCAGCGTAGGGCAGGCTTAGTGTCGTGCTGCAGCCGTGAGCCCTACGGCACCTTGTTCCTTAGTTTCCCCATGGGTAAAAAGGGAGGCCAAGTGGCCCAGGGCGGCTGGCGAGAGCCCAGGCTCAGCCCGGCTTCGGGATGCCTCGCTGGCAACCAACGGCACTGCCACTGTTAATGTCTTTAATGGTATAGGAAGGATAAATGCCATCACTTGGCTGAACAGAGAAAATATGCAGAGGAGCGGCTGGCTTTTCATAAATCATCAGCGCCCGGTGCTACAACCGAGGCAGGACTTAAAATTCAGGTCAGGAGAGAGGGACTCTCATAAGCCAGTGAGGGAAGGTAATTTATTCTGTTTATATCTTTTTACTGCAAGACAAGGGGGGAAAAAAAACTCTGCCATGATTTTGCATTTTAAATATTAGTTCAGAGCTTCAGCCTGCCTTGGACTTTATTTATTTTTATCTTGGAGAGGAGCGAGCGCAGTGAGGATGGCTCTGCTGCTCGGCACGGGGCGCTGCGAGCAAGCGGTGGCTGGACTGCCTCGTCTGGCTACGAATTGCAGCTCACTGCAAGGCAGGATAAACAAGATGCCCGGATTTAGGGCCTCCGAAGGATTAGGGCTGGGCAAGGCCAGCCTCGAGGTGTCCTTGCTGCTCCAGGAGCAGCCCTGGCCTGGGGACATTTCAGGCTGTGCTTGGGGAAGGTGAGCAGGAGGTGTGTGGTGGGGGGCATCTTCCTCCTCTCCTCATCCTCCCGACACACGGACCTTCTCTCCAGCCCGAGGACCTTCCCTCCAAGCCCTTGGACCTTCCCTGCAGTCCAAGCCCCCTTTTTTAGCCCAGAACAAGGAGCAGGGGTGAGAAGGGCCTGAGCTGCCGGCCCAGGATTTGGTGTGAAATCCTGAATTCCTGGGTTTTGGCTCCTGGGAGGAGATTGTGAGTCCCGGGGCAGGGAGGTGGCCACGTCCYGGGAGGGGAGGGAGGATTTAAAGGCGAGAGGAGGGGACAGAGTGAAGCTGCTGTGGGGCTGCACCCCCACGGGGGTGCCCTGTCCCCGCGCCCACCAGGGACACAGCGCAGGAGTGTCCCCGGGTGGGTCACAGCAGCAGCCTCCCTTTACACCAGGATAAAGGGGCCGAACGGGGGCCCGGGGCCGGGAGCTGCCGGTGGCCCGTGGGGCTCAGGCAGGTCCCCAGAGAGGGGACAGGGAGGGGACAGAAGTGGGGGTGCGGCGCGGGGCCCCGAGCGCGGTGGGGCGGTACGGGCCCGTGCCCCGGGCCGGCGCTGGGGACGGGGGCGCCGGGAGCAGCGGGCGCCGGGGACAGCAGCAGCAGAGCCGGGTCGCTGTTTTGTCGCCTTAAAAAATAAATAAAAATAAAAGGGACCAGGTGACTGAACAGTAGGTAACTAAAAGGTTTTTTATTCACATTGAACAACAAGAGCCATTCACACTAACAGCCTCTGCAAGAGGCAGCGGGGACAGGAAACCCACGACGCTTTCAGAAAACAACTTTTTTTTTCCTTGTTCTTTTTTTTTTTTCCTTGTTCTTTTTTCTTTTTTTTTTCTTTATCCTCTTGCCCCCCTCCCAAGTGCCACCCCCCCGCCTTCAAAATAGAAAAACCTCGGAGCCTCCGATGACTAAAGTACAATAAATAATCAGTAAACACAAAAACATACTTTTATTTGTTTCTCCTTTATACAAAATAAAGAAACTAGAAGCAAAAACTATGATACATCCTTAAGTCCGCGGAGCCTCCGGGAAGCAGCCGGGCCGGACTGGGCGCCCGCTGGACCCGGCCGGGCCGTCGCGGGTCCCCTTCGCTTCTGCGTCGCCTTTCGCTCCGCCAGGGGGCGGCCTCCGGGGGCGCCCCCCCCACAACCCCCAGTTCCCCTCCCTCGTCCGACCCCTCTGCATCCGCGAGCAACGGCTCCGGGGGCGCCCCCCCCACAACCCCCAGTTCCCCTCCCTCGTCCGACCCCTCTGCATCCGCGAGCAACGGGTCCAAACCCACCTTCTCCTTGGGAATTAAAGGGGGTCAACGGAAAGTGGGGCAGGGGAGGAGACGGCGGCGAGGGGGGGGGTTATTCCTGTGTTCCCCATTTCCCCCCCTGCAATGGGAAGGGATGAACCGAGGCTTAGAGGGTAATTAAAAAGAYGAGGAATTAGCAGAGGGAGGAGGGGGCTCCTCGTCCCCCTTGGACACACACCAGCTCCCCCCTTTCCAAGCAGCCCCGGGCCGAGGGGCGCAGTCCCTGCGGGGGCGGGGGGCCCCCCTGCGAGTTCAGCTTTGGTTCGAGGAGGGGGGTCCTGATGCCGGCTGGGGGGTTCTTCGGGGCTTGGCACGTTGCCCCCGCCTTGCCGTGCCCCATCGCACGTGTCRGGGGAAGGTAGAGGCCGGGGGAGGTAGCGAGGGGGGCACCACGGACATCCCGAGCATCCCAAGTGCCGGGTGAGGAAGGGGGGATCCAAACCGAGGGGACGGGCAGGGACGGATGCGGGGAGCGTTTTGGCATCGCTCGGGCGGCGGCACCGCTGGGTCCTCGCGTGGCAGAGGCGACGTGACAAAGTGTGCCGGGGGTGCGAGGGGGCCGGGGACGCCCCGCCGCTGTCCTCACGCGGCCTACCACACGGCCGCCTCGCCGAGCTCCTGGCTGGGGTGCGAGAGGGCCCCGCTGTAGCCGCTATTGCTGGACATGGAGAAGGGCGGGCTGGGCCCCCCGCTGAAGACCTCGCCCGGCATGGGGTGCAGCGAGCCCGTCATGCCCGGCTCCGGGCTGGGGGTGTCGGGGTGCGAGATCATATCCGTGTACCTTTGGTTTTCTGAGGAGTGGTGTCCGCTTAGGGGGGGCTCCAAGGCTCCCAGGGGCGTGGAGCCGGGTCCTGAGTTCTGAAGGTAGCTGGAATCGGCCGGGGACTGCGCTTGGGAGGGCGGCCCGTGGGGGAAAAAGTCATAGTTGCCTCCCGGCCCGTAGTAGTCACCTTGATAATCTGCAGGGAGGGCRGTGAGAAGAGGTTGGGGTCAGTGCCCGAGGGCCTCTGACCTCCCCCCACCACCCAGGGCTTTCTCCCCACCCTCCCCAAAATCCCAACAYACCCTGGAGACCAGGGCGACCCCCTTGGGAGAGTCCACATCTAGGGGTGCAAAGCACAATCGTCCCCCTCTAGAGCAGCACATGGAGCCCCATGGCCAGCTGCAAAGCAGCACTAGGGAATCCYAGACTAACTATTCCAGCTGCTAATTACCCCTCCTTCCTGCTCCCCTCCCTYCTTTCCAAGGCACAGGTGTAGGAGGGGAAACAAGAGAGCAGCGAGTCGGGAGCTTTGGATGGAGGTTGCTTCGCTCTTGTCCTTATTTCCCAGGTGGGAGCAATGCCTTGTATGGATTCGGTGAGTTGGGTAGGAGCTGCCAGGCAGCCTGAGGGAATGTCTGGAAATGAGCGGTGCTTGGGAGTTTGCAGAATTGCAGTGTGCTCTGAAAGGAGCCACGGGGAGTGTTTTCCTCAGCAGCTCCAAAGTGGGAATCAAGGGTAGTGGGGTGGGCAACTGCCCCAGGTGGGGTTGCTCTGGTGGGGACAYGGGCTGGGGATGCAGCAGTGGCTGAGCCGGGTGGTGGGGCTGGCGCTGGGCTGCTGGAGGGGGAACAAAAGGCCACGGCCACCACTTTGTCCCCCTGGGCTCCTGCAAGGAGCAGCA